ATTTTACAAAAAAGGTGTGAAATATACGATGTCCCAAATTATTTTCACTTTTATTTTCAAATATAAAAGTAAATTCATTTAGAACTGTTATTTGAAAAAAAAAATCGAAAACTTTTAGCTAAACTATATCTTATTTAAGACATTAAACACTGATAAGTTTAACATTTTTGATTAAATTATTTTGAGATACAATAAACACATATCAAATTTTAGTTCATTTTCAACGACGGCATTTATTATGGTTTCAATAATTTAGGTATTTTCTCAAGCTTGAAATGCCCAAAAACTGTTGATCATGCTGTACTTGTTGTTGGTTATGGAACGGAAAAAGTGACACTTCGAAATGGTACCGAAAGATTGTCGGATTATTGGCTTATTAAGAATAGGTTCGCTATTTTAGGGAGTTATGAATATTCATATTTTGGTTATTCTTTTTTTTTTACGTAATTAAAAAAAATTTTTAGCTGGAGTGAAAAATGGGGAATGGAAGGATATCTTAAATTAGCTCGAAATACGACAAATATGTGCGGAATAGGATATTACTCCTGTTATCCATTGGTATCTACAATCAATTAATCAATAAATTTAACTGATGAATAAATATGTGTTTAGCATTCCTCATCAAATAAGACATTACACAACATTTTATTTATTTTAAAGTAAAACATCCAAAAAGAATTTTCAAATCAATTTAAATGCAACATCCCAAAGAAACAATCTCTCAGAAATATTTAATGATCTAATCATTCCATCCATTCATATAATACTAATACTAAACATATTTCTCCTCCATTAAAGAAAAAAATAATTTAAGCAATAACATATTTATCATCAGTAATATCACCGGAAATAAAATTAAACGTAAAATGATTGTATGTGAGGACTTGTTTTAATACTAACAGTAATTGCCTCTCAGTTGTTGATAATATCAAAGCAAACATTTACATTCACCCATTTTGCATTCTAAATTAAGTACAAACAACATCAACAAATACAAACAAAGCAGTTATTATTAAACTTTGTCTTTTATATTCGATCAAAAATTATTCGATTTCCTTAAAAATACTTAATAACCAGCGGTTATTTTATTTTATTTTCATTATTA